CATGCAAGCAAAAGACAAAAGGAACTGGGGCTAGCACACAACCCTGTTTTACCCCATTGGAAATGGCAAATGCAGCTGATGTATCACCATGGTAAAGAACCTGTCTTGTCATTCCATCGTAGAATAGCTGAATCAACTTCACAAATTTCCTTGGGCATCCATAATGTCTCAGGATGATCCAGATTGCTTCCCTGTTTACAGTGTTAAATGCCTTTGTCAAGTCAATGAAGATAAAGAGGCTTGTTCGGCTCGATGCACTTCTCCTGGACTTGCCTCATGGAAAATATCATGTCTGCTGTACTCTGTTCTGGCCAAAAGTCACACTGCACCTCTGGGCGGTTTCCTTCCAAGACAATGCCAAGTCCATTCAGGAGAATGCAGGCAAAGATCTTGCCCACAACAGACAGCAGTAAGATAACCTTGTAGTTTCCAGAGTCTGATTTGCTTTTCTTATTTTTGTAGAGAGCCATAATGAGGACATTGCGGAAATCATCAGGCATCTGCTCTGTGGACCAAATTCACAGAGATGTCTTGGAATGCCTGTAAGGTGTTTGGGTCTGATGCTTTGTAGATCTCAGCAGGAATGCCATTCTGTAATTGAAGGCATGTGTGAGGAGGATACTGGAATGGAGGATCAAGGTTATCAGGAGGGAGGGGGAGCATTCCTGGAGAAGTTTCAGAGCAAATGCTTCCTCAGCCTGCAGCAGGACCGTGAGAATAGGAAGAAGCTGAGACTGGCCCCTCCCTGGAGTCTCATGGGGTATATCCACTAGTTGCTTTAGCATAGGTTTAGTCTGGCAAGATTCTGTCTATTGAGTGCAAACTAATAAAGGAACTATACTGGACTGGACCACCTCATTGTTCGTGGGCTGGGCCTGACACATCCTGTCCTGTTACTTTATTTGAGTTCATCTGTGATATTGCTTTCTTGATCTCATCGGTAGAGGGAGGCAGGTCCAGGGCATCCAAGATTGGGTGCTGAGGGACCTGCTGTAAGACATCATGATCATCTGTGGACAGCCTATTGTGTACATTGGAAAAGTGTTCAGCCCAGTAGTTTTTCAGTCCTTCCTGGTCTTCGATCAGATTCAACCAATCAGATGACAGCAGGGGGGAGCATCCTGATTTAGAAGGACCAGAAACGGACTCTGGTGCCATGCATGTCTGCATAGCATTCCACCTGCTCAGCCTTTCGCTGCCGCCACTTGTCCTGCATTTCTCACAGTTCCGTCTGTACTTTGGACTGCAGGTGCTTAAACTTGTCTTTTTTTGAGACAGATGATGGATCGTTCTGCCAGTCTGCATAGGCCTTGTTCTTGGCCTGGAGGGCTGCTGAAATGGTCTCATAGTTTTCATCAACCCAGTCTTGATGTGCCTGAGTTTTCAGTCTGAGTACAGTTGTTGCAGTCTGTGTAATGACATCTTTACACTGCATCCACTTTTCAGAAAAGGTTCCTACAAGTGGTAAATTGCCGGAGAGTTTTTCATTAAGTACATCTTGGAAACGTTGGACTTGGCCTGGGTCTTGCAGTCTGCCAATGTTGAACGATTTTCTGACAGTCCTTGGCTGCTTACACTGTAAAGGGGCTATGTGCAGGTTGAGGACTGTCCAGACCAGCCTGTGTTCTGTCCAGCACTCAGCATCTTGTATAGTTCAGGTGATGGTGATGTCTCTAAGGTCACGCTGACATACTATGATGTAGTCAAGTAGGTGCCAGTGTTTGGACCTGGAATGCATCCAGGTAGTTTTGTACTTGTTTGCAAGTCTGAAGATTGTGTTAGTAATGTACAGGTTGTGCATGGCATATTTGCTCAGAAGCAGTAAGCCATTGCCATTTAGTTTTCCCACCCCATGTCTCCCAAGGACCCAGATCCAAAATGAATTATAATTTAAAATATAGCACATCAGAGACATAAAATGCTGCTTTAATCTGTAGAAACAACAAAATATTTGAACTATGCTGCTTTGAGTGACTTTTATATATAACTTAGATCTGTGCACTTCTATAATTCCCATAATAGATACCTAAGGGAAATCTCTATGCAATACTTTATATATACATTTTTCCAAGCAGAAAAGATGTACTGAAGAAAATACTTTGATCACTATTCCTCAATGAGGGTGAAAACAGACTATAAGCCAGTCTTACCCTCTGTAAGAATTCTGCATTTATTCCTATTCTTTGCTTCCAATTAGTTACTAATTATTAATCCATTAGGAGGCCTATCTTCTTATATTATGACACTTAGTAACCTTTGGTTAATAGCCTTTGATGAAGAATAAGATGGGCAGTAGCAAGGGAGGGAGGGAAGGAAATGGTATTTGATGGCCAAGATTTAGGATAAAAGGGGTTTTGTACAATCATTATACGCTCTTATTTCATCTCTGTTATTATGCTCAAGCATTAAGGACAGAGCATGGTCACAAGCAGCTGAACATGCAAGTGATAGGAGACAAGAATATTTCAGAAGCGAAGCACAGTGTTGATGTCAGAGATATGGAACTTCCAGTGCATTTGTGAAACCAGATTGGAAATGAAAAGCAGAAAGACTTACCTAAGCAGATAACGTGCATATGCAAAGCCTTATCTGATTCTTTCTATTAGCAGGAACCCAGACAACCACTGACTCAAATGCCATCATACATGTATCTTTTAATGGATCATTTATCATTTATCTGTTCTACCTTACAGAACTGAAACCTTGTTATAAACAGAAGGTTGACAGTGGAGATTAGACGGCAGTCTCAGCAGAATGATGGGGTTAATAGCAGTTCCCCCAAATTTCAGAAAAAAATTGAGTAGAAAAATAAGAAGCTAATCAGGAGGAAAATGCATGTTAATAGAACATGCAAACCAACAATTAATGAGGCTTGCAGACCAACAATGCTACCATTAAACTAATAACAGCTTTATTGAGATATTACCATGCTTCGGCACATTGCAAGAATCTCATTCAGTTAAGGAACATATAAGCCCAACAATAAAATTAAAATGAATTCATAATAGCCAAAGAAATTAAAAGAAAGAAGAGTTTTAACAAACATATAAGAAGATATAGAAGCCCACCATAAAAAGTTAAAATCACATCTTCTTGTAGCCTTTACTTGAAATCTGTTTTAAAAATAATCTACATTTGGCAAATACCTGAGAAGACAGGATACAGCTATAGAATAGCTTATCTTATAGATAAGATTAAGGAAACAGTTGCATAAGTTGAAAGTACAGTGTGGCATTCTAGGGAAGACGAAGAGAATTCCAAAAGAGATATGGAATACAAAAATATTTTAAAGATAAAGCTGGGTTTGAAAAAAGAAAATGAAAAATAGAAATGTACAATAGTTTAATTTATCCCCAAAATATGATACCAACTATAAGGACTCCATCTAAAAAATCATCGGTAGGACGTAATAGGATTTTTTTTTTTTGGATGGAATGTATTATCAAAATATGTCCAAAAGTAGTAGAAAATACGGGGTGATTAATTAATAAAGGGGGGTTTAACATATACTTAGGTTAGAGCTTTGAGCTGTGATACATTCTTTTCAGAATGTTTCTTGCTTTAGGCAGGGTGACAGAAAAAAGATTAGAAAGGACATTGCCAATATGTCAGGGAAAAACAAGAATAAGAGAAGTGACATTGTAATGGTATCAGTTCAAGTCACTGTCATTGGTATATTTCTGCAGTAACAAAGTAGCAGTGACAAAGATGCAATAGACACAGAAACTGATTTTTTCCATAGCAGCATCACTGATGTTTAAGCCATTTGTTGCTAATAATTCCTGATACCGCATAATCATTATGATTTATTCATAATGCAATGGTACTAACCATAAATAGAAACCTAATTTCCTATACTAACCATTTAAATCTAAATGTTTCATTTTTATAACAAATTCTTGTGTTGCTTCCATAAATAATCTATGCTGGGATGAGCAAGGTGGGCATTTCCAAAATACCCATAAAATTATCTTTGTAATACTAAAATAGCTACCATGTTCCTACATGTAGCGCTGATTACTATACTGAAAACTACTAAAGAAACCAAACTCATTGTCTGTCATCTGTCTTCTGTAGTTTCTTCCTGTTCTGTACCATTCAGCAGAGTCAGCATGCTCCAGGTCCCATCTATTACACAGTGTTATCTGATGGGACCTCGGAAATACACCTTCTCTGCTTCAGCACCTGTTTTCTGGAAAACGTCATCCTAGAGATTTATTTGGTCCCCACCATGATCTTGTTTAAAAGAGTCCTTAAGACATGGCTCATTGCCCAGGCTTGGTGTCAGAGCTGATGGCGGACCCCTTATGGGTTACACGCCTCTTTTTAGACATTGTTGGGGGATTTTATCTGGATGGTGGTGGTTCTTTTGTCTGTGTATTTAATTGTTTTAGTATTGTACACCACCTGGAGTCCCAGTGCAGTCAGGCAGCCTAAATAAATAAAGGCCTTGGGGTGCAAGAGAAGATTACTTAATTTATCCTTTATCCTTAAGATTTCAATAACTCGTCAGAATAACATAAATAATTTTATTTAATTATTTAATGGGTTACACAGAGAGTTCTGGAATAAGCTTCCTTCTTCACCACTGCCCTTACTGTATCAACCTTTGTGTATACATATAAGTATATGATTGGCTATATGCGGAGGTAATATAAATCACTTGACCTGTATATTCCAACTGTAAGAAGGTTAGACTGGCTAGAATTTTAACTCTTTTTTAATCCTGTGACGTGGTAAAACAAAATATTTAACCATCCAATTCAAGATCTTAAAACCAGATTCTTAATAAATTAAGACTCCCTTGTAGTTAAAAGGTTGTTCTAAAATTTCCAGAGATTTCTTTCCCCAATAAAAGACAGGCAGCAGTTATTTGTAAATCTGCACTCCTGTGCGCAAAAATAATAGAACTGCATCTTGTTTGCTCCACAGAGGCTTGGAACAATCAGTTTTGCAGAACAGGTTCTGGAGGACAGAAACCCGTTCCTGGTGTTTTCCTGCCCTAGGAGATGCTTAGGTAGCAATCTAGCTCTTTGGCCAAGGATTGTTCTCCATTCCTAGTTATCGGATTTGGTAATCTGGAAAGATGAACATTTAACTCAGATTATACCACCAGAGTAGCATAAAACAAATATCCAACATGGGTGCATATAAGATACTGAACTACTAATACTGTCCACAGAGGACTGTTGAAATTTGTTCCAAATGGGAACAATAAGTGCATATTTAATAAACTGAACCCAAAATTTGAGCACAAGAGGCCAGCTTTGTCCTCTCCCTCCAAATCCACCCCTTACCATTCTCTCATTTCTTTCTCAGCAAGATTTCTGGCCTGCTGCTGATACAATTGTACAATATATATGAAATCTCCAGTTCTTTGCAGGCATTTGCCAATCACATAAAGTCTTTAAGCTAGCAGTTCCTATAACCAATGAATGCTGACCAACTCTGAAATACTTGAAACTGATGTTTTGAAATTGGAACATTTTGTAAACCTCCTACTTCTAGCACCAGGAATGTCTAATAAAGTGCTACAAAAGAAAACCTACCCAGCACTGTAATATATTACTTTTACAAAACTCAGCTATTCTATTACTCCTGTAAGTATTGCTCTGATAAGAAGATCCTTATACAGCTACAGTTGTTACTGTTTTCAAAAAGTGTATATATTTGACTTTTTAAAAAGATAAGCATAAAACCCACTGACCCCAAAACAGTAACAGTCATAACCAAAAATTATACAAGGTTGTCTTTTGCCTCCAAAGCAATCACCCCATTCTTTAGAAATTGAAGATAATGCATAAGGATATACAAAGACTCATCTGTTCAGAAACCTCTAAATACTATTAGTATAATAGAAAAGACTTCACAATTCCAATCCAGGCCAAAAAAAACCCCACCCACCAATTGCATACTGTTAATTAAGAACAAGCATCTCAGTATGAAAACCATGTTTTCAATTTAATACTGACCATGAGAGTTTCCACAGCTTTCTTCATCACTGTTGTCCTGGCAGTTATTTTGGTTGTCACACATAAAGCTTTTATCGATGCACAGGCCGTTCCTACAGTGAAATCGGTCAGTAGAACACAGCAATGGATTTGCTGCTGTGGAAACAAAAGCACATTTTATTCAAACTTCCAATATCCCTTTGATAGCCATTATTCCCAAGAGCAATTCCATACAAGTTAGTGTTTCAAATTCTGAACAGAGTCTTTTCTTTCCCCTGGACATTGTACCGCACCCAGTATCACAGTTTAGAAGCAGATGGACTATGACAGGGACAGTTTAATTTGGTTCATGGATTAGTGAATCAAATATAGAAAATCTCTAAAAAATTTGGCCAATGAAATATTTCTGCAAAAAGACAGAAAGTTAATTTGACCGAAAGCAACCTTATACTTGACCTGAACTCTAACCATGGTTTCTAGTGATATTGTATCAGTGGAACTCTGAGCCAGAAAGAATGATAAACTTAAGGGCACTAGAAACATAAATTCCTGTTTTTTTAGGTAGACCTCTGGAAAGTGACACAGAAGTTAAGAAATACTGAACAGAGATATCATGGAAGTCATACATGTATACGTATGTATGAGTATGAAAGGAGGAACACGCTGAAGTTGCAGGAGCTGTTTGACATGGACAGCACACTTTCTTCTTACTTGCACATGGTTTAGACAGACCTGCTAAGAAATTATTTTACAAGCCTTGTTGTAGAAATGTGTCAGTGAGTTTAATATGTAAATAATGTGCAATGCTAAATCTGTAACCTCTAGAAATGTCTTAAGTTGCATTAGTTTGTGATTTAGTAAAAAGAAAGGTACTTTTTGTCTCTCAAAATGATTTAAAGGCAAACGCTATGGATATAAGACTTCAGAAAAACTTAATGTCCCCAAGGAAGTACTGTATGGTGGTATACTTAAAAAATTCAAGGTATATTTGATAACGATTAAACCAAAGTCTTAGCTAAAACAGACATACAAGATGATTTTTAAATATAGAACAATCTCTTACTGAAGAATGGGAAACTATGCAACTAAGCATATATCCCAATCAAAGAACATATATGGAGAACCATATGTTATTTTCTTCTATACTAGTTTAAGCCTCCTTTAAAACAGTCCAAAGACTGGATTTCTATTATCATTTTCTTTTGTATATATGCACATATGTATACCACTTTCTCCTAGAGTGAGAGAGCTGTTTATCTCCAGTGTTACAACTGGAACCAATTTCTAAAAAGAAACTTAAAATGTAAAAGGAGCACACCCATGGGGAGATTATTTATACCTGAATAAGCCAATCCTTGCAAATCCCAGAAGAGTACCTATGTCACTCTGTAGCACTGAAAGAAAGAGAGATGTAGTACTTCCAAAGACCTATTCAAGAGCTACAAAGGTGTGTGTGTGCCTTCCAGTCAGTCTTGACTCCTAATGACTGCCTGGACAAGTCCCTGCAGTTCTCTCAGCAAGATTTTGGAGGTGGTTTGCCATTGCCTCCTTCCTAGGGCTGAGAGGGTGTGACTGGCCCAAATCACTCAGCCTCACAGTCTCCCAGTTTCTAGCCTGATGCCTTAACCACTACACCAAACTGGCTCTTTACAAAGATGTGTACAGCAGTGGTAATTAATAGCTATTCTCTTCTTCTCACTCTTGATCTTAGTAAAGAGCCAGTCTCCAAGCTTATAGTCCAGCTGTCTGTAGCAGGATCCTAATACTACATATGATTGCTTCTGCACTGAACAGAATACTTTAAATCAAATGATCTGTAATGACTCTTTTAAAGACTTTGAGAAATGAGATGTTGAATATGACTAACCTATAATATTTGCTTGGGAATATATACAACTGAAACCCTTACTACTAGTAAACAGCACGGCCCAGATGCTTTAGCAACCTTCACATTACCCATAATTTTAGGATTGTTAAGAAATGCAGCCTGGTTCTAAAACAGGATGCCTTGGTCTTACAGAAGCATTCTGAGATTGACACTGCCCCATTTCAAGCTTGGAATCCTGTTGTAAGTTTGAACCTATTTCAAGATAGGTAAGGTCTTTGGTAAGGTCAGACCACTGCCAAACTCTTCTGGAGTGGGAAGGGGGTTAGATTGGAGGCTATGGATGTATATATGTACTCACATGTAATAGATCAAGAAATCAGCTCCTGTAGCCTGTGTTATCATGATAAACTTTTACCAGTTAGGAAAACAGAGTAAAAAGTAAAGGTTGGGGATGGAAAGCTATCATTATTATACTAAATAAAAGAAGTATTCATTATTGGGCTTTAAAATAATATTTAGACATCAGCACGATCAAAGAGAAATATTTATTGTTTTAAAGAAAAGATTCAGAAATTAACACTGGTTCCCTAATTAGACTAGCATAATTTTATACTAATATATCATCATTACACAGGGCAAGGTGTCGTTCCTCCAATTCACTGACTCTGAACTCAATGCATTTTGTTTCTCAGTAAACATGAACAGGTTTCAATTCCACCAAAGCTAAAGAGAAAAATAGCTATCTTGAATGTATCTGAATCACATCCAGAAAAAAAGTTATCTTGAATAATAATGGTATTCTAACAGTGAAATAATGGTATTCTAACAGTGTTTGTATGTTTTTGGAATTAAAAATACAAGTCCAACATTAAGCGCTAAGAAAGCTGCTTATTTAGACATCCATACAACCTACAGAAACAATGTAGTATCTCCTTTTCTTCTTCACTTTATTTCCACCAAGGAGGAAAACAGTACAATAGTACTATTTTAAATACTGATTTCAAAAATATTTCATGGGACACCCTGAAAAAGTATATCACATCCTTTAATGCAGAAAGAAAGGTGATGGAGAGTTTTTCTGTTTTTATCCTCCATGTCATTATCTGTTTTATGATATGTCAAATGTGTGGTATTATTTCAAGTTTCAGGAGAGGTAAACTTTCCATCATACAATTATTGTTCTTACACACAGGAAACTGGCACGTCATGCAGACATGATCAGGCAAAAGCTGATTTACTACTCAATCTGTTTTTAGGGAGGCAAAACATCCAGTTATAGCAATATTATTACCAATATTATAGTATTTTAGGTACCATAAAACCTCAACATAATGGATATTTTGGAGGGAAGAGGCACCTGTTAACCCTGAATATTTGTTAACCGCAAAGCTTCTACCCCACCCCATCCCATCCCCATTTTTTCCCTTTCTCTTCTGGGAACTCCTGTCATGGCCAGCTCCAATTCAGAGGACTCTGACATCAAGGGGTCTATTCTGGGGTAGCCAGATGGAGCTCAGCCTGAGGAAGCTCAGATAATTCCTGAGGCTGATCCACCTGGCAGTCATCAGAAGCAGGTGTGCTTATTGTCAGAAGTCCACCCAGCCCTAGAGCATGTCACATGTAGTAGGAGCACAGCAACAGCATTCAGCACGTCTCCTCACACATCAGGGACATTCCCAGTTTTGATTAGTTTCACCAGCATAGGATGTATTTAAAGGCCACCGCTAGCCTGATTTCCTTCTTTAGAAGCAACTGATTGCTGACCCAGATTGAAATCCTGACTCTCGTGCTCCTGAAACTCTGTCACCTTGAATCTGGGCCAGCTAATGACCTACTGTCAGCCTTCCCATGTAGACCAGACAGGAAATGATCAGATGAGCTAATTTTACTTTATTGTAAGGCTACATTAACAGAATCTTGCAAGTCTGAAAGTACAAATCTCTTGCCATCTCCTTTACCCCTGAGAAGCTATGGAGGGTCCCTTTTGAGTCTCTTGCTCTTTTCATTATGCAGCTGTGAGCTATGCCCTCTCTTGTCTGACCATTCCCTAGGCAACATCTCTTTGTCCCATCTCCCAAGGTCTTTCCCACATACCATTGCACCTACCTATGAGTTTTAAACCTGTGGACCATGCCCTGACTATTCTTCCACCCTCTGCTTTTGACTGTGGCCACTGGAAATTGCTTACAGGCGAACTTCCAAGTGATTGCCATTGCTGGACAGGTGGATGGCAAAAAGAAAAAAAAAATCTTTCTTTTGAGGGCGGCACAGTGAAGACAGCCATCAATAGATGTTGTACTTGACACTACCCATAGGGACTGCTGAAGGAGTCTTCTTTCACTAATTACTCTATCAGCACAAAAGTGTTGGTCAGATTAGGATCCAGGGTCAGGGAAAGAAATCAGCCACTGCCATCATTGCCCCAGCAGCCCACCCCATCCACTCACAGTCCACTCAGTCAAGTGATCTAAGTAATACCTTCTTCCCTCTCCCACCCCAGCATGGTGTCCACCCAATCCTCCCTGTGCCTTCCTTGCTCCTTGCCTTGATTTAAATGCTGCTTTGCCTGCACGATATTCCCAGGGTAGAGAAAAGCTAGGAGATAATTTAATTAATAACAATAATATGCTACAAAGCCAGCAAGAATACTCAGGAAATTTTTGGTTTGATCTCTGCCTGGGATTCAGAACTTACATTCTCTTCGCAAATCTATCATTGACCTAAAAGTTAAGGGTGCACTTGCACAAAACTCAAGGCTACCAGAAGATGGCATATGTGAAAAAATGAAAAGATGAAAGATGGGGTATTAGGTAGAAAGATTAGGTAGAAAGATCTACCTAATGAGATTTAAAGGTAGAATGAGATATGTAAGGAAATATTACTGAGGATAGCAAAGTGTTTCAAATTCAACATGGTTTAAGCTCAGAGTGCCAATTTTGCACTCAGGACATTTGCTTTGAGTTCAAAAGGGTCTGGTTCTATCTTACTGGAAATGTTTAAAGCCTGAAACAACTTGTCCTGCTCCTATTCCTGTTCATTTTACAGAAACTGTACAGTACTGTTTTACTACTCACCAAGTTACCAGGCTGCACTGACCAAACTTACATCATCCTACTCTTCTCTGTCTCTATCATAATCATAACTCATAAAGTTGTCAAGCTTTGCACAGCAGCATACAAAATTCACCAGGAACTGATTGCCAGCTACACTTAATCAGACTTGACACATGCCCAACTATTATATTGCTGTCTCTAGTTGTTCAGTTTTACAGCTTCTATTGCTCAGCTTAATTTTAAATTTATTTTTTTCTTAGAAGGGTATATTATCTCACTATATTTTACTCATCTCTTGAATTTTAACTAACATTTAATTTTAGTTAACCTATAGCTTTTCTCAGGTATTAGTTTTATAGCAGTTTTATAGCTTTTACCTTACCAGCTTTAACTCAGTAGTCACTGTCCTCATGGATTCTAAATGCAGGCAACTTTAATGCTGTAATTGTTAGTTCCACAATCTCTCGGTTTTTAATTAATTATATTTGTTAACCAACCCAATCATATGGCATTTGACTGTACATGCCAGAGTAAAAATGGACTAGATATACAAATAATAAAATAATAAAATTGTAACAAAAAATATACATGTATGGAGGAACCCCATCCCATACTGGTACAAACCAGCTGGAGCTAAAAGTCATTGGAAAAAGGTTTTCACAATATTTTTGAATACAAATAAAAGGAAGGTGTTTTCTGACCCTCCAGAAGTACATTCCATCATATGGGGACCACCATAGTAATATTGCTGATCCAAGACAGTACAATGAAGATATTATATTGTACCGTATGAGTTACAGGTGCCTTGAGTTCAAAATGGGGACACTTTGAGCTCAGTACACTACCAGAATGGTCAGAACAGCCTGTTTTGAATTTAGAACAACTGTCTTGAACTTGAAATGGGTTGTGAAATGTTTCAGACACCCACTAAAGATTACTGCAGGTCTTGGTTCTTCTTATCAACCCCATAAAAAAAGTGCTGTCATTTTTCCATCAGATGTTTTTAAGAATGCAACTCTGCACTCTCCTGCAGCAAGAGATTGTATCTCAAAAATATTAAATATGACTAAATCGCAGTCAAACAGTCTGCCTTTTTTCCCCCTTACAGCTGCAATGCACAGTTATTTAGGTCACAGTATCATGAGACCTATTCAAGCACCTGCAAAAAAATAACTTTTATAACTAGCTGCAAGGAAAGAACATAGCAATGAAAGTTTTTCTTTTGTAACTTCCTCCTTATAAGACAATGAGAGAAGACTATAGCTAAAAAATTCATGATAGTATGCTAACTTCAGCTTAAGAATTCATCGGAATTGGAGAGCTAACAGCTGGGAGCCTTGCTTTCTGTATAAATTCCCCATTAAATAATAGGTGTTTTATGCTTCCATCAGTTTTACTAATTCTGGTTACAGTGTTTATTACACACAGAGCTTCCACAAAAGGGATTTCATATTTTTTACTGGAACTGATATGCCAAAGTTGTATCAAATGGCTTTCTTTTTACTGGAATCCTGCCGGTGTAGTATAGTGGCTGATACAGTGGACCTGAACAGGGGAGAGGGGGATAAAATTCAGATCTTTACCTCAAGCTCACTGGATGATTTTGGACCAGTCATTCCCAGTCCAACCTACCTAACAGGATTATTTCTGTGGATAAAAATAGGCGAACCCCCACAAATGCCACACTGAGATCTCAGAGAAAAGATAGAATATAAATGAAATTAATCAATCAAGTCTTCCAACTAAGAGTTTTCAATATTTATCAACCTTAGTGCAACAGTTCTTTTAGATATAGCCTTCAGGCAATGGGACAGATGATGCAAAGGACAGAAAAGAGCTTTTTCATTCTTGCACTGAATCTGGAAAGCTAAGCAATATATATTATTGACAAGGTCAAGAAGTAACATAATACACACATCTTCTTTGAACTTGTACATATAAGAAATACTCTTTTAAAACTTAAAACAGACGATGATAAAAAAAAAGTAAACATAACAAGACAGAATGGCACAAAAACATAATCTTCAAGGAGAACAACTTGCAACAAGGTTTTTTTTTTAAAGTGTACTTTTCATTAATTATAAATGCTCGTTCTGATCTCCACCTGTTACTACCTACTCTTTCTAACCTTCACTTTTAAAAAAGATCAGCTGCAATTGTCTTGTAAACCTGGATCATTATAGTACATTTTAAAACAAGCTGAAAGAGAGAAATTAAATGTCTAAATTAACTAAATTACTACATAGCCTTCATGATTCTATGGAAGTGTCAGGATTTTACATTCACTGGAGAAAGTTTTCAGATTTTAAAGTGCTACTTTGCCTTTGAAATGCAACAGCAACAGTTTTTCAGTAGCAAAGGCAGGTAATAATAACCATATATGTGATAAGTGATTAATATTTATTCATTAACAAAGGAAACAATGCTCTTTAAGGATAGGTAATAGATACTTACTACAGTTTTCTTCATCGCTGCCATCAGGACAATCCTCAAAACCATTGCATCGGAAACGACCAATGATGCAGTGAATTCCACTGGCACATGGGAAGAAGGTAGAACCACATTTAGATTTTGCTTTTGCTGGAGAAGAAGAAATGAAAGTTTTATGATTACAAAACAATTCTGTATCAAAATAGTCACACAACTCTCAGACTTGTCTACTTGAGAAAGCTCAATGGAAAAGTTTTAGAATTTGGCCAAGAGTTTGATGTAGTGTTTATTTCTGTTTGGTTGGCCAGTGATGAATAGTTCTGAAAATAGTTATCATTGTAACATAGGGCTAAGCTGTAGTAATGTTGGTATCTTATAATTTAAGATATTACAAAATTTCCAGGCTAATCTTAGCTCATAGAAGCTAAGCATTCATGCATTACAAGCATTAATGTATGAATTGGTTATCAGCAGGCCTTAATCATTCTGATCTCCATATTTTCTACCATATTTTTAGGCTTCAGATAAAATTTGCACAGATCAATTCACAAATACTTTGTTCCTTGAACAAGGTACACTAATGAATCACTATTAACAATGTATCTTTCTTGGAAAATGAATTCTCTAAAAGAAAATGTTTCAATATAAGAGAATATATGTAGCTCAGGGTTGAACTGTGGAGTCCTTGGTGCTCTCTGAGCTTGACTGTTGCTTGCAGATGTTTCATTACCCAATTAGGTAACTTCATCAGTGCTGAGTATGGGGTTTGCTCCCTGTTTATATACAGTAGCTTGCCCTGTCAGTGTTGGTGGGGGGTGTTGTTTTCTCCTTGGCAGTTCTTTGATTTAGGATATTGTTTTCTGCTTGATCATTTGTCTGGTGTTAATCCTGGCTTATCTGGGTATAGGCTGCTGGAGGATGTGATCTGGTCTATTTGTTTCCTTCTTAGTTTTATTGTTGCTTTTGAATGGTGTATAAATGGGGTTTGTCTCTATGTGTCTATTGATGACTGATTTGTCTGAATGCCAAGCTTCAAGGAATTCCCTAGCATTTTTGTATTTAGCTTGGTCTAGGATGTTCAGAGTTTCCCAGCTGAAACTATGGTTGAGTCTGTCCCTGTGTTGTGAGATTAAGGAGTTTTCATTGTGTCTTCTGACTTCTAGTTGGTGTTCATCGATGCGCCTCTTCTGCCTCTCTGTCCTAAATAGTGGCTGTTAAGTCCTTACACTGTATGTTGTAGATATCTCCTGGGTTTTTTCCCCCCCTTGGGCTAGTGGGTCTTTTGGTTTACTTAAGATGTTTTGGAGGGCTTTAGCTGGTTTGTGTGCTATGGTGCTTGTAATAGTCTGTTGGTTATTTCTGAGATGTTTTTGATGTATGGCAGTGTTATCCTTTTCATAGCTTGTCTTGGTTGTGCTGTAGTGGGTTGAGTGGTCAGGCACTTTTTGATAAAGTTCTGTGGGTATCCATTTTGTTGAAATATATTGTATAGGTGGTCTGTTTCCTTTTTCTGGTGTTCCGGGTTGCTGCAGTATGTTTGTACTCGTCTGAATAATGTTCTTACATAGCTCCTCTGTGTAAAAAAGTTTGGTAACATTTTATTGTTTGTAATTCCATAGTCTTTCAAACTCACACATTTCTCTAAGCTTTTGATCAAAATTTGTTTTGATCAATTGCTTTTAGCTATTTTGACAGGGTCTTTTTAGCATAAAGTCAGATATAACGCACAGGTACATATTATATATAACTTGGGTGTAATTGAATAATTGAGATTTCTATTATAAGTGTACAAGGGTTAGAGATTGTGTATGCACATACTTCCAAGCCACCATCTACAGAGTACACTGTACGGAAGGGGGAGGTGTGCAGCACTTTGAAGGCAGAGGGTGCTTTGGAATGCAAATGGGTGCATGTGCAGAATTTAACATCTTAAACCAAATGTGTCTTTTCCTGGGATCATGCAGAAGTTATGGAAGGCAGCTGTGCAGTCTTGGGGAAAATGTAGTTGCTTTACAAAGCTGCAGGCAAGTACTGCATGCATTCCCTCACACACTCTGAAGAAACTTTTTGCTTCTGAAGCTGGAGCACTAATGTAGACATCCAACAAATTTATTCAGCAAATGTATGGGTTTGCACATGTACACTGACTGTATAATGGTATTATAGTTTGTTTATTTCTTATGTGGAAATATAGGGTCTCATATACATATATATATACATATATGCTGCAGAGACACATGTAATACAGGTTATATAACCTGCTTATGCAGTTTCTCTCTGGCTTTAATTCTACTGTATACTTACTGTGAATGTGATATAAAAAGGATTACACTCAGTTGCATTTAAATATTTAGTGACTAGATTTAAAGTTAGTGATTAGAATCTACTGTTATATAAAAAAGAAAATAAAACATCTAAAATATAAAAAATACCAGCATAGATAAGGTTAAAACTGAACAAAACAAAACAAAAAGTTTGTTAAAGTCTACTTCTCGGACATCATGCTCCAAATATTCTTAGAAAGAACAGAGAAGATTATGACACACAAGTGCTGTTCAGTTGGCTGTAATCAGCTTTTAGATTTTGAGCCAAGCTTCCAAAATAGGGGAATCCTTAATTTAAGCAATTAACAATTCAGTGTGGTAATTTTTTCAAAGTCTATACCCCAAAGATTGAGTAGTAAAGCTGTATAATTAAAACATATATAAAACTTACTAGGGCCAGACATAAACTGGTAAAATAGCCAGATTAAAACTGTAGGGAAGGTAGAGGTAGGATAGGATGGAATAACCTCCAGAATGCTTTGGGGGTAATTCATACCTCTAATATTCTCTAATAGCAGACATGCCACTGAATATTGCAAAAGATCAGAATGTATTACATTGGGGAACATAGTTTTTTCATGCCAATAATGCTCAATGTAATGAATATTTGGGAGTGACTCCATATTATATTTCTCCAGTTTCTCCATACACCTTATCTCTATGGGATTCTGTAAAGTTGATGCCAGTAGAATTCATGAACCCCCAAGACATAACTTTGTTATACGCCGCCATGAGTCACTTTTTGTGAGATGGGCAGCCATATAAATTTGATAGATAGATAAATACAGAGAGAGAGAGAGAGAACATTCAGTATCAAACTGTCATTTTGCAAAGCTCAACTCACTGTAAGTGTTATATTTTAAACATGATTCAGTCCTCAAATAAGAGGTTTTGGGGAAGGGTTGGGCTGAAGTTTTTAAATTCCTTACCTGGTCCCACCACTTACCTATTCAAGTTTTTATTTATTTGGCATGGCCTTTGCCCAGCACTCTATGCAAAGATAATGTGCAGCAATTTGTACATTTTACATATAAGTGGATAGCACACATTGCACACACTGGCGAAACAGATATTTCTCTGGGGTTTGGGGAGAGGGGAAGTATGTTTTTTGTCAAACCAATTTTATGGCACACACTTTTTTTTTTTCTTTTTCCTCAATTTTGGCAGTTATGCCACTGAAATCTTGTGACACAGTCAGGGAGTGCTCAGTAATCATAAAAAGAGAGTTGGGTCTCTGCTCTGTAAAACAGTACAGAATTGTATCTGAACCAGTGCGGCATTATATAAAAGATTTTATGAAGCAGCAACCAGAGCAACTCTTAGATCGATTTATAGTTTAAAAAAATGAAGCAACAAAAACCCAAAACCAAAACAAGTAGTACACCCATTGCAGATGCATTAGCTGAGGCTTAGAGCAGCAAATAAGTATCAACTAAGTGCCACTTAAATGCTAAGCATCAAAATTTAGGGAGGCGGGTCCAAGGACAATTTTAAAGAGACAGAAAATAAGCTATCAACAAGTTACTAGCACTCGAAAAGCCTTAAACAAAACACATTTAAAAGCCTCTTCCAAATATTAAATAAAACAGAATTATGAATAAGAACATGTCGGTTACACTGAGCTTTGCTTCATTCTTACTTTGTGTGTGTGTGTGTGTGTCTAAGCTCTTAGTGTCTGCAGGGTTTTAAACAAATCATTGTCCCAAGAGCAGACAAACCTTCCAAGGCTTTATTCATACATTATCTCTCTTTTTAATCAGTTCATTTCTCAAGTATGGAGTTCAAACATAAATCTCTCCTAGGAGTTTTCCATCCTACCTTTTGGAAGCAACCAAAGTACATGTGCAAAGCAATATTGGGAAGAGGACGTTTATTATTGTTAGATTATTATAAATCTCAGTAGCAATAAATATATCTGCTGCCTGCTGCAGAAAAGGGCAACAGGATTTCACATTTCATGAGATAAATTATTTATACATGAGTAAGCTTGTAGAGGAGACTAAGGAAAGAAGGTGGTGAGGCAGGAACCAGTGGTTCTTATGCTAGGGAGGATCCTTATGTTAAAAGCATGGCTTGCTTGAAAATGGCTTAACATTTGAACCCTGGAACACAGACCTATACATAGGCTCTAACTCCTATGTATTTCTGTAGGCAGATCTTCCACATGCAAATGTTTTAATTCTTGTCTGCAATAAAGAAACTAATCTGAGTCACACCTGTGAGCTTTCTGCTGAGTCAGCCAGTTCCCGAATAAGGCATGAGTATTTTGAATGCCAAAATGTTCAGCCAATACCTGTAGGAGCCTGACAAGGAAATTTTTAGGATGTTCCTAATTACCAATTTATGAAGTAATAAAGAAGCAAATAACAAATTAACTTATAAAGTGGTTAGCTCATATAAGCAATGTATCAGTGTTCTCCAGTTACAATGTTCTCATTCAATTCAACTAATAAATGACATCATTTGATGTTTTAGAAACATTTTTTTTAGAGTTCTTGGTAGGCCATCAAATCCAATAATGTTCAAAGGCAGCACTTCCCAATCTGAACCCTGCCTGTCTTGAATTTCGATATCTGTAGCGCAAGAACCTCAGGAGGGATGGAGGATGGAAAAAGTTGCTTTAACAGATATTTTGGACTGGAATCACCATCAGTCCCAGCCAACACAGGAAATTGTGGGTTTTATAACTGTAAACATCTTGAAGATATGAGGTTGTCTGTACTTGCCCTAAGGATTCTGATACATGGCAGCTATACCAGTGGTAATCACAAAAGTTATGACTGTGTACTAACAGATTTATAACATCAGGACAGAAACCATTAGGAA